TAGATATTTTAAACAGTCTTAAACGGTGCGTTTAGTTGTATTATCCCTTTCCCTCTCGTCTCTACTTGCTAGATTTTGCAGTCGCCTGCAAATGCAATCGAATTCGAAGAAGTAATAACTCAGAGAGCTTGAATTCCATTTCTTCAAGCATTTATAGAGAAAGAGAAATATGGTTTCAATTCATCTTCCAAGATTTCACCTTTCAATCCTCACAAAACCACCTCCATATCTCAATCTCCTTCCCAGAACGAAGCTACCCATTACATTCAATCCTCTGGGGAGGCTCTTTTCTGTACCGAAATCCACTCTTTCTACTTCAGAGCCGATACCCATTACTGACTTCTCAGTTCCTGAAGAGCCAAGGCTCGAGATTTCGTTGGAGAAGCTGTTTGTACCACCGGATACGGTTGTTTCCTGCGATGATGCTAGTCTCAGTACGAGGATCTTAAAGGGGTCAAATATAGTATTGAGCAAGTACGCCAGGGACGCGCAGGTGGTGCAGGCTGAGTTTGTGAAGAGTAGTGTGAGGACTGAGGATTGCCCGTCTGATGGGTTGCCTGAGTTTGCGCTTGTGGGTCGCTCCAACGTGGGGAAATCTTCGCTCCTTAATTCGCTTGTGAGGAGGAAGCGTCTCGCTCTTACGTCCAAGAAACCTGGTGAGATATAACTATTTGGTTATGTACTTAGTTGATTGAGTATTTACCATAAAGAACTTTTATGTTCGATACATTTACCCTGAATTATGGTGAATTGGAGTTATATTTCCCTTCTGAATTCAAATTCATAATAAAAAAAGTTTGGCTTGGTTCACTAGAAAATGAGAGGAGAGGTTGACTTGAAGCAATAGGATATGAGGGGTTGTAGATTTGCTCAACCCTTCCTCTCATTGCTACTGTGTTCCCCATCCTTTGTGTCTTGTAGTCATGTGGTGTTTGCTTTATATCGATCAAGACTACTGTCATCTGGATTGATCTTGCACAAGGACTTCAGTTTGTGTGAATTTTGTTAAGTGAAATTGTCATTTTTGTATAGTTTAGAAAAAGAGAAAAGAGCATAGAGAACCGTCAGACTTGTGTATCCAGGATTGGTTTCTTTCTTTCTTTTTTCTTTTTTTAATAATTTGTTAATAATTCATTCTTTATTTTGTTCTTGAATCAATGAAGAGGCTCCTAATTAGCTAGTAGCTGTTTCTGTAATCATTTGTAGGTAAGACTCAGTGCATCAACCATTTCCGCATCAATGACAGTTGGTACTTAGTGGATTTGCCAGGATATGGGTATGATTTATGTTCTAATTGCATCCTATGGAATCTGTATATTTATTTAAAGCATGCTTAATATGCATGACCACTGTTGGTTTTAACATTATTAACAGTTAGTTGTATAATTCAGTTAGAGGTTATATCTTTTACATGTTTTCTTTCTTTTCCATAACAGGTATGCAGCTGCCCCTCACGAACTGCGAACAGACTGGGACAAGTTTACCAAAAACTACTTCCTAAACCGATCAACACTAGTCTCAGTCTTCTTGCTTATTGATGCCAGCATTCCTGCAAAGAAAATTGACCTTGAATATGCTAGTTGGCTTGCTCAGAATCAGGTAAATCTTTTGTTCTGTTTTTAGAAGAGGAAAAATGGAAATTAATGAGGTGATGAGAAACCTACTTTGAACTTTCATTCCATTCCAATGCTGATTTCTTTACTGTTTCTGTGCTCATTGTTTAAAACTGTAATTGATTGTTTACATCTTTTAGATTCCAATGACGTTGATCTTTACCAAATGTGACAAGCGGAAGAAGAAAAGGACTGGAGGGAAAAGGCCTGAAGAAAATGTCAGTGACTTTCAGGAGTTAATCCGTGGCTTCTTTGAGACAGTTCCTCCGTGGATTATGACTAGCAGTGTTACCAATCAAGGTCGTGATGAGATATTACTGCACATAGCTCAATTGCGGAACTACTGGCTCAAACACTGAGGAAAATCCAAATAATAGAGCTTTTGTGGATGACAAGGGTGGGTAAATATCTCAAACCTAATTTCTTGTACATATATCAGCACTCATCTGTCACTTTCTTTTCTTTTTTGATCAGCAGCACTCATCTGTCATTACCATTTGTTCCCATTTTAGCTCAGGTGTTTAGCCTTTTTTCCCACTTTCTCTTTGCCCTTTCAATCCTATTTTGATATTGAAATATGCTGAAATTTGGGGATTCCTATTATTATCTATTCCATTGATCATTTACCTTAAATTACAGTCCTGCTTACCATCACTAACCAACGGTGTTTACCATCAACAGATTGGTTGTCGTGCTTGATTGAAACTGTTGGTCCATAAACAAAGGCTAAGAAAGCTGTTACAAAAGAAAATAGAAAAGAGAGAGAAATCCAGGTGCTTGAGAGGTGATCTCACCATATTTTCCGGCTATCAATGGTGAGTGAAAGTTTAAGGAACTCTCAGTTTCTGCTTTGGTATAAAATGAAGGCAGTCCCTTTGCAGTGGGTTCACCTTGATTTTGTTTTTGAATTTGAAACTTAAGCTGCTGTTGTAGACTAATCAAGTTAAAAAACGAATAGAGTAGAAAATTTATTCCTGCATAATCATTTTTTGCAGTAATTAACTTTGAGTTCTTTCATTTTTAAAAACGTTTGAACAAAAGTATTTCAGATTAACGACTGACCTTAAAATTTATAGTTAAACTCATCTTTTGGGGTCTCCTTATTCAATTTCCTGCTTGAGAATTGAGAAGAGTATCAAAAGACTCATGGACTGCGGGATGAAATTGGTTTTCCTTTGTTAGGCATGTGGACTGGATTAGTGTAGGAGAATATTGGATTCAAATTTGGTCTGCCTCAAATGGAAGGTTATCTTAAAAGAAACAAAAACCACCAGCAAATGTATACCAAGCAGTTGCAACTTGCAACATTTCTATAACAAACTGTACATTTTTGCAGAGGAGTTGCCGGAGTAACGAGCAAAGATAGAATATCATCGGTAGCAAAGCTTAATTTCTACGCAAAATCACAGAATCTGAAAGTTTGACCAGAAGAAAAGGGGTAATATAAAGAAATTATTCTCAACGATCCAGGAAAGGCAGTGAACATTAAGGCACCAAAAGTAAACTTGAAAATATGATAACCCTTGCTCTCAACAATAATACAAAATTTCTTGTTTCAAAGATGAAAAGAAAACAAGCTAGTATTGGTCATCTAAACTTCAAGAGGAGGCAGCTGCAACATGCTTCCTCGGAATTGCTTGAGTACCTGAGAGCAATACAAAGGCATCCCATCATCCAAAGAAGTCAAACCGGCATACATCCAGAGATACACCAACACACAGGAGTTAATCTGACAGGAGACGTGAAATTCCCAATAAAGAAAGCAACTTACCTTCTCTGAAGCCAGTCTTGAACCTTCGGGGCACATGGCGAAGGTACCTCATACGTCCAGTTCCAGTAGTCTTTCTACGGATCGCCTTCACACTCCAGTTATCTGAATACAAAAAACAAAACCAAGAAAATCATATACATAGCCCATGTAAAGAGCTTAATTGTTTAGAAATTTAAGCATTTCAATGTGGGAAAAAATTTTGCATCAATGTAACTACCTAGATATGGATAATGGAACCTGAAACACATATTTATTTAGAACAACAGCTAAACAGGCTATGACTAAGATAGCCGAGCATGCCATGAGCGAGCAGGATAATCTTGCAAACAAAGGGAATGTTTGGCTAATGTAACTATAATCACTAGATTCAACTGGAGTGGACAAAGCACTTCGAAAATTTCCTTAAATCCGACAAATTACTGTCATGTATGAAACTGGAACAGAAGTAAAGGCCAGAGGGCAAGAGAAGTAGTTTACACTTTCGGACACGGCTGGCCGGGAAGCCACAGGCGGCGCAACGGCTCTTCTGGAGGTGGAAGCTTCTACGGCCACATCGGACACACAGTGTGTGGGTCTTGTTCCTCCTCTTTCCAAAGCTTCCCGTCCCTTTCCCCTATGAATAAAACTTCTCATTCAATTTCAATTGTAGAAAATACAGACAAAGATGGATTTACAGAGAAAATAAAAGGCACCATTTTTCTGTTGTCGTTGCAGAAACCCTAGAGAGAGATGGAGGGACTTCGACGAAGAAGATGCCAAGCTATTACTATGCTGATGCAGTTAAGTTAGGGTTTTTCCCTCCAACTTTAGAGGGCCTATGAGGTCCAAGAGAAGCCCATAGATTAGGCCTATAATAATGGGCTGACTTGAAAGCCCGAATTATGGGCTAACGGGCCTAATGCTAGTAAAAAATTTTCTTCCTGGGCTTCCAAACAGAATTATGGGCCCTTTGGGCAAAGCATACAAGCTCCCTGTTCCATTTCCATTGATTGCTAAAAGAGAGATTTTTGCATGCAGAGTTTGTTTGATACTACAGTTTAATATTAAAAATTAATGATTTTATTTAATTCAATAAATAAAATTGTTAATAACAATTATCAACCATTACATTAGATAAAACCACTAACTACTAGTTTTAAATTATAATACTAAACAACCCCTTAAACAAACTTCTAACAACCTAAAAGAAATTCATAGCAATATATATATAAAAAGAAATTAATCAAGTTAATACTCAATAATTAAAAAGTTTCAAATATCTACAATAGTAAGCAATCAATTTTGGATGAACAAAAAAAGGTTTTCAAAAGGAGAAAAGGAAAAAAAAGGCATGTTCAATCCCTGATGGCTTAGCTGGGACAATGTAGACAAAAGAAGATCTAAATGTCACATGTTTGAATTTTTTGTTTTCTTCTTTCTTTGATTTTTAAAAAACTCAAAGTAATTATTTTCTACCTTAAAAATTGAAAAGCACGCAATAATACAGCTTGAATCACATCTAGATCATATCTTTAATTTTTTTATCAATGTAAATCTTTGTTTGCAGTACTTTATTTTGTAGGAATGTTTGAAGCTGGAATTAGTAAACAAAACTTTATCAATTTTTGAGTAATAATCTTGTTTCCCAATTAGCAAAGAGCAATGCTTTTTATTACCTTCTTGATAATACCAAGAAATACTCAACTTTAACCCTTTTTTTCTTTTTAAAGAAATAAAAACTTAAACAAAGTAATTCTTTTCTACCTTGAAAAGAGCATGCAATGATATATACAGCACAATCATATATCTTTCCTTATTATAATGCAAATCTTTGGTCTCAAAACTTTGGTTTTATAGGACTTCCTTTGAAGTGAAATTTAGTGAAATTTTGGAATTTAATCATTCACCCTTTGTTTGCTAATTTATGGCATGACTCATGAAACATGGAATTAATATAACGCAGGCCCATATATTGTCTAACTTCGTTAGTTAATGGGAATGAAAATGGACAAAGCAAAAAACAAAAAAAAAAAAAAAAAAAAAAAAAAAAAAGGAAATACAAGGAAAGAGTTACAAAAGAAGAATATTCTGTTCAACGATTGACCTGCAAAACCAAATTGCTTTGTACTTTCCCCTTAGGAGTAAAATTCCGAAACTGAAACGCTAATCCAATTAAGTTAAGACAATGCAAAAGCGAATAACATGCATTCAAGCCTAAAATCAAAATGCTATCTGAGAGCGTTCTCAGTGCTCCACTTTTGAAGATAATAGCAAACTCGAAAGAAGAATATATCAAATGTCCTTACCAGATAGGATCATCTTCTTGGGGCAATAAAAGCAATTAGAGCAAGTGGGAATGATGTTTTGCTTTCAGTTCAACAAGCATGCACACACAAGAAAACCTTTAATTCCTTTTGCTCTGCATTAGCTGTCTCCCTCAATTTAGTGAGAAAGTGAGGAAAGGTTGGGGATGGTTAGCTGAGTTGGTGGAAAATCTATGGGGAAATTGAACTTTTTGCTCTTTTCACTAAGGAAGAAAGAGTATCTTGGACCTTGGAAATTGGAGAGGAAACTCCTTTTGCTTTGGAATCTATGAATGAAGAGATATAGGGAGTGCAGTAGCGGTCCCGACCTAAAAGATCAGCAGAGCCAGAAAAAAAAAAAAAATCCGGCAATCAAATTTGAATGAGGTTTTTCTTCTACTTTAGCACAGCACTAATGAGTTGTGTCAATCTTGTATGAGTATGCTTCTAGATGGGGGCTTGCAATGGCATGTCTTGCCCTTTTCATACAATTAATAAAGCTAGAAAAATATGGTGATTGAAAGTTACCCAATGCAAGATTATCGCGGTATGACCAATTCTAATGAGGACTTGCAATCGTATTAGATGAGCAAAAACTCAGACTAACAAACTCTTCTTTGGAGCCAAAACTATTCCGGGGGCCTACTAGAAACCTTGTATCTTGAGACAAAGTCAAAGAAAATTAATGCAGAAAAGAAAACTAAGATACATTAGCCAAGTCATGTATTTTTTTTTTATTACTAATTCTCAGCATTCAAAAGTTATATTTAACCTGATTAATTTGAAATTAAGCCATATTAAATTTTATAAGTAAAAAACTCTCTCAATACTTGTTCTTCATTCATAAAACTTAAATTTAAAATTTTATTTAAAAAGACCTGAATTTATTTTATTCAAACTAATAAGTCATTTGTATTTGTTAGTCATGTATTATGTTACATATGTT